AACACCTGATCGAATACGATATGATTTTTTATATTCCCATTAGACTCAATCATCCACACACTCAGAGTTAGTACTCATCTATGACTCAACTTTCATGTCGGGAAACATTCCTGTAGCGTTTTGAACGCTTCGGCCAGTGGTGAAGCTACCACTTGTACGTACTCAGCGTTAGGGGTTGGCCTACGTTGCGAGAATATCAACAATTACGATAGGATGAATTCGTGGACGAGGTATAAAAGCGCGAAATCGAGCAAAGAAGCTTGTGGGAATAAAACTACTTTTTGTGGTAGACAACAGAGTGAGGTATAAAATCCAAAGGAATTTCGTGAAATAAAAGGAGAACCGAGACCCGTCCCAAAACCCGACAGGACAACCAGATCTCCCAACTGTTATAAAAAACCATACATTGGATTTTGATAACATTGTAAACATCATCGACGATTGTAGGATGTTTCCGAAACTATATACGAGAACAACATAGTTGATTTCATATCCGGAGTTCGGCGAGCGACTCACTGTGGCGGAGGGGCACTGCTGGAGGCCCGTGGAGGGACGACGGCGGGTTCCTTAGACTTTCTGAACCCTCGGACGAAGTTCATGGACGTAATCCACTAAAAACTGAAAAGGAAACTCTCTTAGACTACTGCAGTTAAGGGCTGCACGGAAACATATGAAAATTCGTTCAATATAACGCACGGCGGATTCGATCCAGGGACCTATCGGTTACTGGAGAAGAGTCATAACGTCTACGACATAACGACATTTACATTCACGCATTCTAGAAGTCGTTGCCGACTCATTCCATGTTGCATGACTGGCTCAGGGAGGGCAGGTGACGTGAAGGGCGTGACGCAGGCGTAGCACGGTGACCACATGTTGCCTTGTCGCACTCCAAGGGTAAATTACAAAATCCAAGGGAGTATGACAAAATCAAAGATTTGTCGCTCGCACTTAGCAGTTTGGGTTTCTAGTTGCTTTGATAACAGATTTCATGTGTATAACAGTTCGGGTTTCTGGTTGCCTTGTCGGGTTTCGGGTTTACCCTTCAACTTGTCTTCCTTGGATTTTGTATATCACCCCGCACTCCCAGAAATACGCTGATTTCACTTCACCCGCATGCATAGGAACGCATATGCACGATGCGCCAAAAGGACTTTTTTGTGTGAAGAATCGCATCAGCCGCCGAGGCTGTTGCGACTAAGGAGACAGGAGGCCGTCCAAGACCTCCTCCTCATTCTGGACCTACTGCGCGGCATCTCATAAAGCCTTCACACTCTCATACTCGAACTTGTAGTTTATATACACTCAATATCAAAGCTCTTCAGTCCATCATCAATGGTGATGATTCATCATTCTCTCTTATCTATAGCTTCCGATTTTCATCATCATCAGTAGTTTGTGTGCAACCGGCGGTAGAGTAGCGAAAAGTTGGTAATAAACCATATATTACTCGTTATATAAAGGAATACTTCAATCAGCAGTGTTCGATCCGCTCACTTGTAGGTGTTGAACTTTCTCAATATGAGTTCTAGTAATAATGCAGCCGATGACGGAGCTCAGCGTGTTTGGCGAACAAATGCTGGCAACTACTATCATGTGCTAGACCTGGTCATCACCGATCCAGAGGTAATAGTAGGATGAATATAGGGAGCGTTCAATTAACCGATTTCGAAATACTGAATCGCTTCTTATACGTAAAATACGATGCTAGAATCGATTATGACATCCTGAAATTATTCAATGAAGAAGAGGGTGCTCTCAACTGGGATCAGCTTCGGTTCGTCTCGGCTGAGAATTTCCGATGAGTCATAAAGATAGTATTTCAGCGCTGTTGCTATTCGGTGTGGAAGACGTTTTTGTAGTATTTATAAAATGATATATTAGATAACAATAACTAATAGATAGGTTAACATAAATAATAATACCAGCTATTAATAAATAATAATATATAGGTTAAATATTAGTATAAATATAATAATACAGCTGGTTATGAACTAGTAATTAATATATATACTTTCATACTATAAATCATGACATTCAACAAGAGATAGGAACAGTGCTTTCCCAATTTCACTCACCAAAAAATGGGAGCATTGATTTTGACACTATATTTAAATGGTTTCAAAATCGCAAGGCAACTGCGTGGAGCTGTAATGATTGCGGTGACAGGTGACACTGAGAGCCCGTAAGGTCATCCGCGCCACATTCCTCATCTTCCTCACCCTTTGCGCCCGTGCTGCCCTCCTCTTAGCTGACGGTAGGCCTCAGCAAGAGTTAGCATTATCATTGCTTCTACTCTGCAGGTGAGCCGCTAATGCAGACTCTTGTTGGGATAGCATTTGTAGCAGTGATTCCAGCATTTGGATATTGGGGGGCAAAGAAAGCGTAATAACTACAGGAATTTAGAAATAGTGATATGTGTTTTGTAGGTCGCCGACGTTAATGAGCCTGTTCTGTCTGCTGATGCTGATTCACGCATCACACGCGACGGCTCTATTGATATACGTCCTAGTCGCTGCCTTCACAGACGGATGCATGTAAGTTCTCCCATGTGGGTTGGTAAAAATGTTATATCAGAGATGAGGAGGATCCGAGCCGTCCTGGGATGACGATTTGTCGGAAAATAGATTGGAATTGGATGTTCACCATTGCGGTCGTTCTCCTTGCAGTATGGGCAGTGCTGGCCTTCTACGCTTCTTATCAGGGGTACAAGCTCTTTGTGAAGTTGGCCAGCGGTGACCAGGTGAGGCAGCTACTGTAGCTCTCGGTGTGGACTCGCTGTAGGTTGCCACTACGCAAGAGGGGACATCATCAGCTTATGAGATGGACCAGAAGGATGGGGAAGTCACATACGGCAAGGTGGGACTGCTTATTGAGCTCCCTGTGTATTATGTGATTGAAGTTTGTTTCAGCCGGTATCAGAGAGTACCACACCTGTCTCAAATGATGATATCGAGATGGGCAAGGCCCAACAGCCTAGCCGCCGTCATGGCTCGTCGACTTCGCTGGACAGTGGTGTACTTTGAGTGTAGTCCTGGTGAGCATGCACTGTGTCACGGGTGTCCACTTGGTATGAAATAGTGGGATAAACTCCGCCTGGTAGGTCTTCACACGGAGACTATACAGTGCTTGCCAATTTGATATGCAAACGTGAAAAATGAGCATGCTTCCCCTGGAGTAATGATAATGTAACAATGTAGATATTGTTATATATAAGTATTGTGAGAAGCATAATCGTTTGAAGCCGCAATAGAGAAAAAATACCCATCATGTGATCTCGCGCTCGCCCAGGTGTCCCGAATAACAAAACCTAGCGATTTATAATATATGAGTTTTTCGTCAACATCGGTGTCGAACTCGAGTTCGACGTGTATCTACGTCTTTTTTATTTACTCGTTCGAGTTGCTCTGGCAATTCGGGATTTGATCGTTGTTATCAGCACAGGTATGTCTGCATTCACTCGATGTGTTTTCTCAGGCTTGTCGTCTTCGATCGGCTCATGTGTATATAACTGTGCTTGTTCGGTTGCACTCCCCCCTGATAGGTTTTGAGTGAAAACTGAGTGGCTTCTGTACTGAATATCATTTCAAGATACTCTTTGGGGAGGTGTTTTGTGTTGTTAGTACTTCGACTGTAAAAAGGGGCGAGAATCGAATGAATTCTCGGGTATAAACGAGTATGATTGAGTAACATACTAGGGAAGGAGACAGACTGAGAGAGCTATAACAAACAGCCTGTGAAAACGGACTATGAGGGAAATCTCTCCTGCGCGAATTCGCCATGGAATCTTGTGAGTGACGTATACTGTCGATATTATGGCTGATAATGCGAACAAAGTGATGATGTTGCATCTTGTTATTGCTGGATAAGGAGAGCGCCGGTCTCAGATATATCTAACTTATATGCTCGTGAATCACGAGTCGTCATTCATAGTCATGTGAAACTAACGAGGTTGTTCGTGTGCAGGGCTTGTAGTTTCAATAAAAGCGTCTACTTATTTGGAAGCATAGGTCGCGGCTTTATCCATGTAGGGTACTGGGCCGCCATAGAATATCCATGAATGACGATTCTGTGAACCTTGGAGCCATTGCCAGCTCAATGCTGGACATCAGGAGGACCCTGAAGCCGGCCTGTAGACTAGATGAAACCTTCAAGGGCCCGCTTTAGCGAGAAGCCTCCCTGCAGGATATCACCATGTGTGATCGGCCAGTCGTCGACAGGTGTCTCCTTTGCATCCACTATTCAGGAGATCGGTAAATGCATTATATAATTCTTCCTCGCGATTGTGACAGTGAGGGCACGTCGATGAGCCATGATCCACATGAGCTCGAGAGTACCGGAGAAAATTGCGTCGACTCACCGAACGCCAGAGGTTGACGAGTGCTCCGCAGTTCCGAAGTGCTCCAGAGGCGATACTCATGACACGAAATATTTAGAAGAGCGGCCAAGCGCTGGCACTTCCCGAGATTGTGCTATCAAACGAGTAGATAGAATGTCATAGAAGACCTTCCGTAAGAGGAGGCCTTCCGTAAGAGAAGACCGTCCGTGGATCTCCGCCAAGCATTAACTAGACCAAGAAATCTTCGTGGCTTTCTTCACGTTAAGAGAGGCGGATAGACCTATGCGAAAGTAATACAGGGTGGTGCAAGAAAAGGCCCACCCCTTGAAGTTTCCCGACATGTGATAGTTGAAGAGCAAAATAGGTATCATTGGGAAGCTCTTATCAAGCTCTCCCCAACGCTGTATGAACGGTTCTGATATTCGAATTGCTCACTGAGGTCTTGTCAAACGCTAAGTCGGCCACATGAAGAAACGCCGTACCGGTTTCGACTTGGTACTCACGAGGGATATTCGAAGTACCCCCGTCGTCTTCGGTGTCATCGAAGTCTTCTCGG